GATATGTTGCTGTTAGAGGTCACTGGTCATACCAGGTCAGGTCACAGGTCAGGTCACCAAAGGTCACCAAGGGTCACCAGATGAACCCAACTTTACTAAGGTTGTGCGATGCATGTTTTATGGCCAGTTTTTCATTTCCAACTCAATGGTGTTGGTTATGAGACTATCAGGTACGGTTTAGGTCACTTTCTGGTGGAGTTCAGGTCATAAGGTCAGGTCAAAAAAGGTCAAATTTCAAAGTTGATATTTTTGCATAAAATGGGTATTGATTCGATGCAGCTCGTCACGGGGAGTCTAATGTTGGTCTTTGTTTTGCGCTACGAGGTCTAGAATTGCTGAAAATTGAGTTTGAAAATTTGACGTCATCAATTTTGAACAGTTTTTTCGCTATAACTTGACCAAAAAAGAGGTATCACTCTCAAATTTGGTATGTAGATAGAAGGCGGTAGGGACTATCACATATATGCCGGTTTTTTCGAAATTCAAAAAACTTTTTTGATTTTTCGGCTATTATATTCAAAAAATCTATTTTTTGATTTTTGGGGGTCAAAATCCAAAAATGTAAAAAATCCGAGATAGCAGTTTTGTAGCCCTGTCTATTCTACAGCTTTTATGTCGTATCATTTTTCTGTATTTGCAAAGCTATAGGCCTGACAGCTCTTCCCGCGAAACCCTTTTTTGGGTCGAAAACGGCAGAACATGACGTCACTCTGACGTCATTTCCGGCCAACCTATCGTAGCCTTTGGAAAAAAATTTTGGTCACAATGTGTAAAATTGATGTCCGGAAGGGTACTGAAAGTTTGGTGACGATCGGCGCAGTGGTTCTGGAGATATATCGAAAAGTCTGGAGGGGGGGGGGGCAAAAAATAGCCCCCCCCCACCAGGTCGCGGGTTAAAAGTCACATGCTGCAAGGCAATCAGCGTGACATGATGCAAGGCAGCATACTAACAAAATCACATCATCGTCATTGAAAATCCTACGATTGAGAGTGACGTGCTGGCCTCAAATGTCATAAAAAGAACCGTTGTTGTAAGGCCATGCATTGGCGTCAAGCATAAACATTTGTATAGGAACAGACTGATTATGACAAGGTTAGTTTATTTTCAAAATTGCACCGCTTGGGGCTTGAGCAGCCCTTTAAGTGGCTCCTTCATATGCGCATATACGAAGCTGCATACTGGACTGCATACGTAAGTGCATGTGGTCTTATTATATCAATTTAACTTTTGCATAACAGTAGATATATCAAAGCTGAACCAAACCTCCCATAAATATACCAAACACCACACATTTCTGCAAAGTGCTGGATGCATTCACAGTTCACACTCATCACAGCCATGCCACACAATAAGTTTTTTACTTTCACTCCCTTTTGCAGCTTACAGAAGGCCTAAATGGTAACTGAACAGGTCCTTGGGCGCCACCAATCCGTGGAATGCCAGGGGAATGCGATCCTGTTTATAACGGAACCGTCCCAGCCTGCGGAGATCTCTGCCGACCTAGCCGAGCTGGCGTCACGAGCACAGCGGTCCCGGGGGTAGCCACTAGCGCCGCGCCTCTCCCCATCGGCAGAGCCCAGCAGACACACGGTGGCAGATATAACGGCAGTCTGCCTCTCAGATGGAGAGGTAGAATGTCAAATCGGGACGACCAAGTCAAGCAAATCGAGTTAGGCCTGTGTGGCGTCCCTTGTAGGCTGTATTGTGTAGTTTGTTTTACGAGCAAACATTTTGAACTCTTATGTGGAATGAAGCCAGAAATTGAGCCCACTGACCGAGAACGGTCCCTAAAGACATCGGACCCCAGACGCAGGATGGACCAGAATCAGGTGACCGCTCCCTACCTCTTTCTTTTTTTATCTTCTGCTTCTCTCTCCTTCTCTATCTCCCTCCCTCTTTCTCCTCTCTCTCTCTCTCTCTCTCTCTCTCTCTCTCTCTCTCTCTCTCTCTCTCTCTCTCTCTCTCTCTCTCTCTCTCTCTCTCTCTCTCTCTCTCTCTCTCTCTCTCTCTCTTTCAGACGGTACCAGCAGCTCTCCTGACGCATCAAAGTACTCGTACTTCAAACTCAAACGACATACAAACCTTACTTGAGAACCTCATCAAGCGAAAAGCATCCGCCTGTCTTCATAGGTTGACAGGCCTCTGTTGTTTTAGTGTTCACCCGTAGCTTATTTCAGGATTGCACTTATGAGCTGCTGGCGCTACATAGATCAACCAAAAGACAAATGTTATCGTACACCGCACAGGATTGGCGTCATCTCACCAGCCTGACACAGGCAGAGGACCCACGAATGCTAATAAAGTGGATCCACAATTCACATCTGAGAATAACATAAATAGTGTCCGCGGTGTTCGCAGACATGCGCTGTGCAAGAGTTGTGGAATGGATTCGTGTTTTAGTATCAGGGAATTACCGAAAGGCTCTAACTGGCCTCTTCTGGTAACCGAACCCTAAGTCGCATCTCTGTGCAATACGCACCGAAAAGCCACACACCCGAGTAGTTAGTCAAAGGAAACAAACGCCTCTCTAGGAACATCGCACTGCACTTTGAGCCGATATCAGGAATCAGCGCGGCGGGTCGGCTCTGAAGCCGAGAAGACCGCATTGCGTCCTATCAGACACGGGTATGGTGTCCTGGAACAGCCGAGTTCCAGCGGTCGCGTACCGTTACACGGAGCGCGCGGAGAGGTATGGACGGACTACGGACCAGAGTGATGGGGCGGAGGGGTACGGATGGGTACGGACAAGAGTGATCAGAGGGGGTACGAACTAGCAAAGTCAGCGAACGGGCCGTGCTGATCACATACACCGCGGCCCTGACCGCGAATGGCGGCGCAGCGGGACTGGTGTCGCAGTTTGGGCCCCTGATGGTAGTGACAACGGTGTGGATACACCACTCAGTAGGTGTCCCCAATGGGCGGAAAAGAATGCCCGGAGTCTGGACTACGCCAGCCACGAGATTGAACCAGTTCGCTAGAAGTTATGCTGGTCTATGCAACGGTGATGATCGATCACTTCCCTGGCCCTTTCCGGTGATCGGTACTGATAATTCGAATAAATCGATCACTCGATGGTACGGTCATTAACGGAAACAAGGTGGGATAGACGACATCTGAGAATTCACAATGCACCCAATCGGATGTCATCAACAGAGCACTCGTTTAACTGTCAAAACTGCATTGAAGTTCATAACTAGCTTCTATTATGAAGAGTCGAGATATGCAAATACTTTTAGGGCATGGCTGATGGGCAGGGTGTCTCACAGAACGGTTATCCACTTCATCAACATTCTTATGCTCGCAGGAAGTTCCGAATCAATTCCGTATTTAGTAGTTCGCAAATACTAATTAGTCTTTACAAAATTTCAGATTCTACTAATGTACAGCACACACGGACGTTTGACGGTATACAAAAACTACGCGCATGGGTCTATCTAGTAACATGCGACATGCGCAGCGTGTGTGCGCGGATATACGAGTATGCATCAGCAATGGCGCACCGACACATGCGCAGCAGGTGTGCGCGGCTGTAAGGAACTCCTACAGGCCCACGACCATCCTGACGTCCCGCCCGCGGCTGGTATCAGTAACTAACATTGCGCTCTGGCCCCCGGTTCCTTCAGAAAACGACATCTTCGACACAAAAGCGGCTAAAGTACGCGTTGCAACAATAGCTGTTCAATCTTCCTACACACATTTCACCTGCCTCGAGACGAGTGATATCAGAGTCCAGAGGCAAGCTGGTATCTGATCAGATAATAAAATGGACACTAACATTCCTTCTATTTTCAAACTACCTTTTCCTCTGCCGGAGTCAGTCTTAAAAAGGTACGTTTCATCATATGACACAGGGCAAAGCATGTGAGCTGTCGCCTGTCCCAACTAAAACTCCATTGATGGCGCTATCATATTTCCCAAATATTGCACGAAATTGCAGCAAATTGTAAACATAGCATTTTCCGGCCCGCCGGCTGCTTCCAAATCTCATATCCGGCCCGCACCAAAAAAGGTTGGCGACCCTGCGCTAAAGGAGCTGCTCCAGGCTCCGGCAGAATGAGCTGTTACACCCAAAAGTACTCATGAGTCAAATGTGTCCCACACTGAGTTTTTCACGCCATGTTCCTTCTCCGGCCCGATATGTCGGTGCATGTTCAGACTGTTCACCGGACACTATTATAGAGCGTCTGAGTAGGTGAGTTCAGCCAGCCCACACACCTCTGGCAGCGCAGCTCAAAGCACAACGCTAATCACGAGTGGGCACTGGGCAACAAGTCTCCGCGGAAAGTTTGGCACGGTCGACACGCTCTGGTTAGAGTACGTGGGTTACCAAGTGTTATAGAGCGCCTGACTGGCAGAGTTAGACAGGGCCCACGCAACAGGAGTGGGCAGGTGGTAACAAATGAGGGTGAGGAAAACGGTGAGTAGTTCCATACTTATTTGCATACACTGCTTCATTTGAGATTTCACACCGTGCACAACAAAACGTTTTAACATTGTTAGCAACTTCCCCAGCTCCCCTATTCAAATGCTATAACAGCTGCGGCCTGCCTGCCACAGGAGCTGGACCGGCCTGCGCTGACAATGTGCAAATACAGCAGCATTGATTGCATTTCGCTAGCTGCCGCGTGTAGCTGTCAGACGTTGCTGAGCGACTATTCGTCTCGCTGTCACGAGAAGAAAGACAGCACCGCAGTCCTGGCTCCTCAGCACACGGCACTGACTGCTAGTGGTTTGGAAAATGTCAGACAACCATGCCATCGTGGTATGGCTGCTTGCCAAAAAACGTTTCATTATTTGGCACCATGCTAACATGAAATTTGTATTTTATCATCATCAGCATACCGAGCAATGAAAAGTTCGGATGGCATTGCGTATCCTGTACCCGTGGATCCACCGGGCTGAGAGATAACGCCACGGTCCCGCCCCTAGTTATGCTTATGCTACACCCTTACCCCTGTGACGTCACCTCTCAACCCCCGTGACGTCATCAGGCACTCACCACTAGGCAGAGTCCGATGCCGAAGAATCGTCCCACCCGCGGTAGGTCGATCTCTGACGGTCGTTTCCGCTCGACAGCCGTCTGAGCCAACAGGTCTCCGACACCCATCAGGGCCCCTGTGGGAACAGAAGGACGGCACCTGAGGTCACATTGGAACGGCCATGGTCACCATCAGGGCTACTGGGGAAACAGAGGGATAGTCAGAGTCAGGGTCCCTGCCGAAATAGGGGGATGGTCGGTCATCATCAGGGACACACAGGGACACAAGGGCGGTTATTGGGGGATAAGTGGCGGTTCCAGATGGAAGTGGGGGGATAACCCAGGACAGGACTGAATTGAGCACATCTTTCGACATCGTTGCTAGGCATTATCACAAAGGGAACAAAAGACCGATCAGCTATGAAGAATACAACGCTTGTTTATATGGTGCGAATTACAAATGCACAGCACAAAATTTACGTTTTTTAGCCTAAAAGGAGGAGAGTCATTTGGTATCATGATACACACGTCGGACTATCCCCGGGCACATCATCTGGGGAGCGCACGCGACATGACCCAGTAGCCAGCGGGAGCCATAAAGACTAGTAGCTTGGACTGGCGTTTCGTGCAGAATGCCACCAACTAAAACGATTCAGTGACTGATGAGAGCTGATCCTCTGCCACGTCTGAGATGTGTAGTTCGACGACAATTAGCCCCCCGCTGTATCTCAGAGCTCGTCCTGATCTGTTTGTGTCGGGCCTGCTCCATTGTTCGAGTTTGTCTCAGACAAAAATGGTCGGAAGGACAATGCGTGCTTTCAGTTCGCCAGCGTCACTAAAAGGGAAGTTAGTTAATTATCCGCTAAGTGATTTGCAATGGAGGAGAGGATTGACAGACGTCCGAGAAACAGCTTCATTATTTGAAGAAATTCATAATCTTAAGTTCTCAAATAAGTACAGGGTATTTAAAAGTAAAAATTCAAAAAAAAAACAATTTCCGTGTTCCACACATAACATCTCAACATCTACAAATGTAGTAAATGTTCCACGCCATCAAAGCATCAATAGATTAGCACTCTGAATATCGGGAACTAGCCGATAAACAATAGATAATGCTTATGGTAAACCTTTTTCACTATTTAAGCTAAACGAGCTGAACATTTTTGAAACCCTGCAGAGTGCAGAGTGCAGTCCGAATAGTGCGTGAATAGGCCGTGAATACAAGTGTTTTGACTGTGGGCTCTAATTTGTGGAAAATATTTTAGACTCAGGACTACCTAAATGGAACTAAATGAGCTTCACGGAAAATATGGGACACAAAGGCGCAGCACCCGAAGCCCAGCGCATTTCATACCTACCATCTGGCGATATAAAGGCTAACTTAGAAGCTGCACTGCAGCCCGTGCAGATAGCAGCCGATACAGACGCTTATCGATGCTGAATGGCGTGAGTGTGACGCGCTCATCCTACGTCGAAATGCCTCCTTCATGTAGGTCAAAAATAGTGCAATTGTGAGCTAGAACGAAGTAATTTCTTTGTGAATATAGCTAGAGAGTGACTGAATTGCGACCGTTTCCGCTACGCGAAAGAATGAAGCAAGAAAAGAACTGGCCTTAACCCTCGCCCGCACATGGTGGGGGGGGGTTGCCACCCCCCAGGTAGTCTTTCTGCTCTGCACTCAACATTTTTATAGCTAGAAGGCTGATTTTTCGTATAGCTGCTCCTCTATCCTTTCTTGATGTCCACTGAAAATTTCAAATTTCTGTGGTTTTTGATTTCGGAGATATGACCTTGTTTTTCAGGTCATGTCATGACCAAATGGCCAATTCTCAACATCTTGCGTTGGCTATGGGCCTTGTGAGCTTTTGATACATTGATTTCGGCCTTTTTTTGCCAGTCTTACCTTCCACCTATCATGGAACATGTTTTTCGACGATGTACAGATGTCAAGGTCAGGGTCAAGGTCAACCTAGGTCATCTAAGGTAATTGCGTTTTAGGCAAGCGAAATTTACTTTTGTGAAGTTTTTTGACTGCATTTTTGGTAAAAGCTTCACAGATCATGATTTCATGTAATATGGACACATAAACAATCGGTGCACACATCAGTATATACACAGACACACAAATACATATAATTGACCTTGACCTAACTTGACCTGAAATGACCTCAGCAGCAAAAACCTGGTCGGGTAGTGTGACAAAGAGGTTCTAGCTGGCTTGGCACCAGAAAACGGCATCGTCATCGGTATATGATAAGCAGCGCACTTGATATCCAACGGTGACCCAAAACAGCAACATTTTTTAGTTTGACCTGACCTGGAAGGTCAATGACTGACCTGAGAAGGTAAAACTGGGTATCATTGGATTCGTCTCTTCCCAAAGAATCTTTTTGGTCTTTACCGATAAGCTCTATCTCCAACAGGAGCGAAATGGCGCGGGGGGGGGGGGTGGCAACCCCCCCCCCCATGTGCGTTCTAGGATGGAAAGTGGCATGTGCGCCGTGCGGGCGAGGGTTAATCCGCACGTGCCTATGGTATACGGCATACGGCCTTTCTTTTACTCGAACGTGCCGAACACGCGATCCCTGAGATGAACAGGTTTCTTACACAACATACATGCATAGAAATTACACATGCACAAATGGAGACATCTGACGAGTCAGGCCGAATGGTGATCTTACATGCCTGGACAGTCTGCATACTGGAGTGTGATCTCCTTGGTCTAGACATTAGACAGTGATCTCCCTGGACTGGACGGTGACCTCCCCAGACTTGATGGTGACCTCACCTACCAGGAAGGACTGGACTGAGAACCAGGCACGTATCCAGGATTTCGCTCAGGGGGGGGGGGGGGCGACAGCCGAGAAGGGCCCGGAGGTCAGCCAAAAGGGGCCCCACAGCGACTGCCTATCCTGGCGTGTAAAAATTCGAGAATGTCGAAAAAACAGCAAATTTACGATAGAATTTGGCATTGTAAATGAAAATGCATTGTCTTGCGTTTCTCGACCTTGATAACATGTTTGCAGTTAGCTTCCGTTGAAGTTCGTTTTTGCAGTTCACTTCCGTTGAAGTTCGTTAACCCGCGCCCGGCCGGGGGGGGGGGGGCTGTTTGAACACCTCCTCCTTGCGGTTTTGCGTGGATATAAAAAAGAGGGATGAATCTTATCTACAGATATGAAAATTTTACACCCAGGTCGCTCAAGGTCAGGTCACCAGACCACGTCAAGTGACCTCACCTCAGAAAAGGTTAGAATGCTCTCCATAGCAACACCGACTGAACGATCGGCTTGAAACTTTTAGCGATTGATAAGAGTAACAGTATGTATAAAATGATTATCTCGAAATTTGCATACCGGTGGTGACATAAGGTCAAGTCAATTTTTGCGCCCTCTCCATTAGGTTTTATAAATGGGAGAAAATCGAAAGGTGCCTCTTTTAGGCAAACGTCATCCTAGGCACCCTCAATCACCTGGTTACATAAAAAATGACAACCTAAATCGGAAATTTGTACCCGTGACCCCTCCTTATGTCTATGGGGTCATCTCAGGTCACGAAACGTCTCCACAGCTTTTGACAATAGCATTTGTTAGAGACACGCTAGAGCGTTGAAAACACCTTAGATGTGTTCAGGCCTTATCGACGATACGGTTTGACGGATGTGCAACATGACCTTTCAGGTCAGGTCACCTTGAATTTAGTTCAAATTTTCTAAATGACCTGATAAGGTCAAATTATATGTAGTTCATTCGACGCGTCTCGACGAGAGTAACACGATGCTGACAAAAGAAATGTCGTGCCTTTTCCTGAATCGAAAATTGTTAAAGAAAAAAAGTGTTTCATAAAAACGACTATTTTAAAAGTTTTTAAAATAGGGGGGGGCTGTTATCCGCCCCCCCCCTTGAGGTTATGCGGGAAAACCGCGGCGCGTAGCGCCGCGAAATTTGGCATGACTATTTTCTCATTAATTTTACACATGGTGTGCAAGTTTGAACCTCCTAACTTTTAAGGTCAGATCACCAGGTTACTTCGAATGACCCAACCTCAAATCACTTTTTTGCAACTTTGTCACGTCGTGTCAGAGCTACAGTAGATAACGGAGTATGATTCGATGCGGATTGACGAGAGGATCACGATGGTGCCCTTAGTTTGTTCCTAGCTTGGCTAATTCGAAAGTTATTCGAGAAAAACTCTTCATATCTAGCGCCGCCATTTTGACTTTTTTTACCCCTGTGACGTCATCTTTGACCTGATCTGGAAATGACCTAATTAAAAATTGTAGACCTTGTCCGTGCGTACCCCATGCCGTTTACCGCTTGTCGCTATCTTGCTTCGTTCTTGAGATCTCAGGGGGCGGGCGGTCATCCGCCCCCCCCCCCCCCCGTCGGTTCTAAGTTGGCGCGGACCCCCGTCGGTGCGCGGGTTAATCGCAGGTCAATTCTGAGAACAGTTTACGGAAAGAACGTTAAAAGAACTATTGAATGCGTTTTTTTTGTGGCGCTGCAGCTCTGTTTGTACCCGGGTTATGCGCCGGAGTTGTCAAACAATGTTGAAATAGGCAAAATGTGACCTTTGCTGACTTATGGTGACCTGACCTTTGACCTGACCTAGAAAATGACCGAGTTACTTTCGGCATGATTTTTTACGCTCTTCCGAATGCCACGTACGCTTACGTGTCGCTACGTGGCCCAGGAGCCGAGTTAGAGAGAGAGGGTGTTCAAGCGCCTCCCCCACCGCCTGTCCCAAACGCCATCCGTGGCGCAACTATGGAGCTCATTTTGTTCGGAGAACTGTAAACAGGAGCAGCCCCATGAGGTCAGTCGAAAGGGTCCCATCATCGGCTGTTGCCTGTTCCTCGGGCCCCATGGTCTGGGCAGGGCCTTCTCAGCGGGCCCTTCCGTTTCTGGGGACCGGCCAGGACAAGCTGTTTCTGAGACTGGGCACGGAAGTGTATATCTGGGCTCGCTTTCTTGATACGTTGTCGAGGCCGAGGGACCAATACTTAAGCTCAAAAGCCTGCTTCAAGGCTTTCTGAGCGGGCCCTTCCGCTTTTGTAGACCTCCCGGGCCCCCGGTTGTCATTGGCTTGGCCCGGTCCGCTTGTGGGGCCCGGCTAGGGACCCATATGAGCACCGGCAAGACCCTATGGGCCCTTTTTGGACCCGAAAGCCTGGGCAAGATCTTCTCAGCGGGCCCTTCCACATCTAGGGCACAGACAGGCCCTGTGACTGGGCACGGAAGAGGATTTTTCGGATCCGCTAACCATAACTTCTCCGGGGCCAATTAGCTCAAAAGCGATACCTTTGGGCCCGATAAGGGACCCGTTTGGAGTCCGGCAGGGCCATAGGGGCCCTTCCTCAAGCTCGAAGGCTCGAGCATATCCTTCTGAACGGGTCTTTCCGCTTTTGGGGCCCTGCCGGGCTCCAAATTGCCCTCGCTCTGCCCAAAAGTGGGCCGAAGGGCCCAGTTACGGACCTGTTTGTGGCCCGGCAGGGCCCCAGGGGCCCATCCGCGAACCAAAAAATTCGAACAAATCCTTCTGAACATGCCCTTCCGCTTTTTGGCCCAGCCGACCCCAAATTGTTCCTGACTAGGCCCCAAAGCGGGCCCTTCAGGCCCGCTTTCTTGCTGCCTAGCGGGCCCTGCCGGGCCCGCTTTTGGGGCCCGGCAGGGCCCAGGGGGGGGGGGCGACCGCCCCCGTCGCCCCCCCCCCCCCTTGGATACGTCCCTGCTGAGAACTCACCTGCCTGGACGGACTGGGCTTTGGCCTCACCTAACTGGACGGACTGGACCAGTGGACAGTAATCTCCCGGACTGGGCGGACAGCATGGAGATCTCCCGGACTGGACGGGCTGGACTGAAACCTCACCTGCCTAGGCGGACTGGACTGGACTGAAACCTCACCTGCCTGGACTGGACTGAAACCTCATCTACCTGGGCAGTCTGGACTGGACTGAGACCTCACCTGCCTGGACGGACTGGACGATGACCGGGTGCCGCTGCAGCAGCCGACCGTACAGGTCCCGCAGGCGCGCGGCCATGGCGGTGTGTAGACCGCCCCACGCCGCACCGAACAAACAGCAGGCGATGGTGTACCGGGTCCTGTCGGCAAAACACGCATCAGCTCCGGACCGCGCTCCTATCGCCGGCCTCTGCTGCGGTCTGCTCGCCACCCAACGCAGCTAACTCGTCAAAGGTAAGTTTGGGTTTAATAGAGTTTTGGATGTGCAGATGTGCACTGACTACAAATCGTCACGTCCATCAATATGGACGAAGAAAATCCGAAGGATAGGTCAGCTATACTCGTATTCACTCGCTCAAGAAGATTGAAGCAAGCATGAAAGGAGCTGGGAGAACATCTAGGTAATGCGACTAAAAATAAAACTGTGGTCACATTAATGAGTCGCCAATGAAATGGCAAGCAGCAGTGGTTTTAATAATGGCAATGGCAAGCAGTGAAATGGCGTCCTAGCGATGCCAACAATGGCCTTTCACGAATTCCTCGCCATCTATTCACATGCGTTCCACCATTGACTGTTGCCGAACCCGTTGACTGTGCCGGCAAATGTATGAAATCATTCAAAAGGCCTGGCCGCGGCACTGTCTTCCTTCAGAGTTGCTGAAAGCCCAGCGCCTATCACGGGTTCGTTATCGACTGGGGAGGTGCGCAGCTGTTCAGTCACAGGGAAGCGAGCACCCAGTGAGCTCTACAAATGACCCGCCGTCCCACGGTTCCGGCACCAGCGAGCAGGAAGCCGCCCCGGGCTCCGCAGAGCCGGCATCCGGAGAAAAGGCAGGCTCACCGGTCGGATACCGGCGCCCCGTATTTCAAGGCGGCAGGCACGTCATTTCACTAATCCTGCGCCGAGGAAAGAATGGGCTACTGGGTTTGCAAGTAAGCTGTTTGTCGGATCGTGTGAGCAAACACACGCTGTGCCCCGACCACACCTGGCTCTTAAAAAGAGGGGTTATTGCTCGCAACGGTGAATCGACATACGGCAGCACTTCAAGGAGACATGGCTGGTTGGGCCACGGAGAAAATAAGTCGCTTTTCGGGGGTGTTTTGACTTAACAAGCTGGTCAACCTCAATCGACAGCTGTTGGGAACGCTTCGCAGACTTTAGTTGAACGTGATTTCCTATCCTAACTCAGAAGTTAGCGATACCAACTTCTAACGAGGGTCATACAATGTTCATGCCGTCATACCTTATTTAAACGTCTGACCAAAGACCAATCATCATCGACTAGGACTTGCCATCGACCCTCAGGAGAACATGACCGATGGGGACCCCAGTAGATAATGACACCACAACATTTGTCATTCATCTCGATATGAGTGAGGATCAGAGGCAAAGGGAAACACGGGATATGCCTGGAGTGCCCATTGCTATATTCGACACCTGATCAGGTTCTCTAAAGCCCAACATATAATTATGTACTACGCAGAAGGCATATTACACGTCTATTGAGCGTAAGCATTAGTGAATCAGCTCCTTGATAAGCAATACGCATTACATAAGCGTATACGAAGAACCAGACAGCTTTGCTTTTTTACATGTTCACGCAGAAGCCATCAAATATGTTCCATGCCTCCATGCATTCCTCTATGATTCCTCAAACCAAACGGCTAAGGAAAGGCGGGGTACACGAGCGATATGAGAATTGAGACTGCATGGGCGAGTTTAATTAACGCCCAAAAAACAAGTTTAACGGCCTTTCACTACATCACAATAACTTAAGAGTCACAATGATCTATCACAAATTTCTGAAAACCACTGCATAATAGTGGGGGTTGTGGTAGGTCTCTCTTAAAAGTATCGCCTCTCGAAAGTATCGCTATCGCTCCCTGGTTTGAAGAGTGAACCCGTTAAACCGTAAAACCGGTACTGCAGGCCAGGCGGCCAACCCTCCAAAAGCCAGAAACTCTCAAAGCAGGGAGCGATAGCGATACTTTCGAGACGCGATACTTTCAAGAGAGAGACTATACAGCTCTTTGCTATCTCATTCTGCAATCAACTAATGAAAAATATTCAGCTCAAACACGCGACGGAAAGACATTTGATAAGATCTGTCGGGCTGCTGCTCAAGTTATTATAAATGAATGTGAAAGCACTGCTTATAAAGGTGAGTGAGGCCAAATGCAGTCGCATAAATAATGCACAGGAGCTCTCAATGTGAATCAGACGGATATTTGCTTAGTGCGTCGCCCCTCAGGGGTTTCTCGAGGAACTGTTGGCGTAGCAGGCTGGTTAGAAAACGACTTATTAAAATCCTGGCAGCTTTTTTGCATTGGCGACTATGTGGTTGATAAGAATGTGGAGGCTGGATTACCTGAATTAATGACAAAAAAAAAACACTCAAGCGTTTCAAGCAAAACGCCGACGCAGTTTGGCTTTTATTTCGCCACAGTGGCTGCCGTCTCGACATTAGTCGCGCAGAAAAAAAGAAACTGAGCTCATTTTGCAGACATTCAATGTCAACACTAGCTCAAATAGCGGGAAAAATGGGGGATAAAAAATGTTTTAATTTCACTAGGTTAAACATCTGTCAATTTTGACTTCTTCGTCATTTTTATATGACAGTGTCAGTAGGAATCTCATTGCACCTACCGAAATAGCATCACTTAAGGTTCATGTGATGTCCATCTGGGCCGCCGGTCACCCATCTGTTCAGTTCAGTGGGCACCGAGCGGCTAATGGGCCCGTCAGAACGAGTGGCAGACATCCTGACAGAGTCGCCACGGTCGTTCCCCGGGGGTGGATGGGGCACCAGATGGGCGGCATGGTGCATTAAACCCGCCCACGCGCTCAGAAAAAAAAAACTAGCAGCGGAGACACCCGCTCTGACTGCTGCAGAAGAGGTTTAAAAAATATGCATGGTTCGGAGCTGGGACAGAATGGAATATCCCCACTTGGAAATGATGGAATAATGAAAACAGGTGGGGTGGGGGGGGGGGGGGGTCACGGGACACGGGTCAACGGTGTACGGCAGCTAGTTTCAGGCCCTTATTTTGGTTTCTCTTTCAATGCCGCAATATCGTTAAGAAAAATGACCAACGATTGATAATGAGCGCTGATACGCATGATTCACCAAAAAGCAGTCGATCACTACGGGGAACTGCGTAGTGCGTATTCTCTTTGCTCAGCAACGCGCAAAAGTTGATTGCGAGATATACTCAGAGCCCCGAATGTAGCGGATATTTGCTTTGACAGAGGACAGGCACTAAGCACCATCTTTTGCTCTGAACATCATTTTAATCATGGCATGCAGATAATATGGTTGCTAAGGTGAGTCGTGTAGCTGACAAATCGCTCGCCACGACCACGAAGCACATTGTCAGCCCGCCCAACTAGCTATCCCACCGGGGCCAACCGTAGCCCACAAGCTTGATCAATATCCCTTTGGTTATGTGTTTTACGCTCCATATGTCATACTTACCCAGCTCTATGCTACATGTATGACGCGATTTACGACTGCTGGGTTGTTTATAGCGTGGCTGTCATGAACTGCTTGGTTGTCGCACACTGCGCTTTAGGCAGTCAGGGAAATATTCGCCACTCCATTCGACCTTGCAATAAAAGTCATTTTGCTGGCCACAAACAGTTCAAAGCCATCCAGCAGGTGATTAGTGTTCTGGACACCAGACTTCTCACGCCAGAGCTCGGTTTGTTCAGGGTTGGTGTCGGACACAGTCCACAGACCTGTTAAATGGTCGCAGCGGAGCCAAACCCGTTCAATGTTCGAAAAGGAAACACGACAGCCAATACACATAGGTGGCTTTGAGCGCTCAAGACTCGAGCTGGGTAAACTTCCAAAGGGTCTGACTAATGACTATGCCACCCATCGGGCGGGACACCGCTGGTCATTTCAAGCCCAAATGGGTTCCCCGGGAAACGTTGGCGTTGATCACGCCGAGTACCCTCCCCGACCAGGCTGCGCCACTGGACCAGGTCTATGCAGCGCAGCTGTGGAGCCCTCTCGCGTACCACGGCCGATAGCCGCGCCACCTGGTGAGGACCAGGCCCGACAATGGTAGATGGCACTGCCATCGGTCCGGTGCCTGCTTTGTCCTGCGGTCAACGGTTTAGCCTACATAGAATACACATTCAAAATTTGACGTTCTTGCGGAAAATTCTCTGCAGTAGCTCTTGAGTTTCGACATCACGATTGTACACCCTTCATTTTGCCGGCATAGCATTTCTCTCATTCAGCCATGTTGAGTAAACTATAACTTGACCTAAAAAGGTCAAATTTTGACTTCAAAATCTGACCTCGGGTCAAGGTCACGGAAAAGGTCATGTTGCATGAGTCCATTCGTATCGTTGAGCTGAACGCACCTGAAATGTTTTTATCGTTCTAGCATGTCATCCTTTATTATTATTGTAAAAAAAAAAACTGTTGGAAACCTGTCAAGACAGAGATGACCTCAAGGGCTTAATAAAGGGGCCACAATTTTTTCGATTCAGTGTGTCATGTTTACCGATACTCTACTTTTGAGAGTGCGACTTACGACTTTCGTCCAAAAAGAGGCCTCATAATTGACCAGACCTAGGGATACCGAATACCTGTATCAAAATTCCGAGATATTACAAACTGTTAGTGCTTATTCCCTCATTCAATAACCCGAGTATCAAACTTCTAGCAGATAAACAGCAGAAACAACAGCACAAAGTTTTTTTTTAGAGGCATGGCAATTAGCCAACACCTCGCTGGGGCTCCTGGACTTCCATGCCCTGCTGGTTGGGCCGTGGGGGTGTCTGAAATCGTGTCTTACGAGCTCGCTAACTTCGCTCCCCATTACCGCGTTTTCAGCACGCAAGCCGGTGCGGCGGCCGCCGGCGCACTCGCCGCCGAAGTTTTGGCGCTCCGCCACCAGGGCGGCCGCTTGGTTGCTGGCGCTAGTGTTGGGGAATAGAGAGTGTCCTATCCAGACTTCATCCATGGTCCCACTATGTCCCGTAGTTTTCTGCTGAGTCCCACTTTGTCCCGCTGGGATCGGCCGAATCCCATTGTGCCCCGCTGTAGTCGGCTGAGTCCCACTTTGTCCCGCTGGGACCGGGTGAGCCCCATTGTGTCCTGTCATTCGGTGACTCATCGGAGAC